TACTTCTGAGCACTCCAAACTTAGAAGAGCCTGCCTAGGGTTGCTATAAGATGGAATCAACTGAACGTCCCACAGTTGTACAGTATTAGTTTAAAAAGACATTTCTAAGCTCTGATAAAAATGATGCACAGTGTAGAAGAAGTGGTCAGGAAGAAGTCTTCCTGGCTCTTGTGCTGTATCAAGTCCTCACGGCCACTGAGTGAACCTGAATTCTGGTAATAGAACATAAATCGAAGGAAGCACTTATGGCTGATGGTCGGATTCCAAAGGATCTCCTGTATGGAGAATTAGTGCAGGGAAATCGCCCCAGAGGGAGACCACGGCTGTGATACAAGGATATCTGCAAGCGGGATCTAAAGGCCTTAGGAATAGACCTCAACAGATGGGAAACCCTGACATCTGAGCGTTCAGCCTGGAGGCAGGCATTGCATCACGGCCTCTCCCAATTTGAAGAGACCCTTATCCAGCAGGCTGAGGTGAAGAGGAAGTCACAAAAGCAGCAAAAGCAGGGAGCTGGACAGGGGTCAGATTGGATTTGTCTTCAGTGTGGAAGAGATTGTCACTCTTGAATTGGCCCCCTCAGCCACACTAGACGCTGTTCCAAGTCCTCCATACAGAGCACGTTACCATAGTCTTTCGAGACTGAAGGATGCCTAACCTAACTTATTCACACAGCACAGTTTCACTGTGGCATTTGCCCTGCCACAAAATCCAGGGATGACTTCATTGCCTAGATGTAATGCTTACAGTGGCTAGTAGCGATGATATGTTACTGGAGATGACATTTCTCTCAGTAATGTTTTCTGTGGCCCATGAGCCAGGAAGTTTCTGTTATACACATGTTTTTTCTATTTGGGACATCTGGCTAGTCAGAAATAGGATGTTGGGCTAGAGGAACCCTTGCTCTGATTCAGCATAGCTTTTGTTTACCGTCTTAGGAACCCATTCAATACCCTGTAACTGCAGTTGCTCATCAATAGATCAAGTGATGCCCGAAGGGAAGGCCTGCCTCTTTTGGGGACTGTGCAGCTGGCCCAAGGCCACCCAGGCTGGCTCTTCTCCGTGGAGACACAGTGGGGTTGGGTGGGAAACTGAACTCCCAGCCTTTGGTTTTGCAGTCAGATACCCGACTCACTGAGCTATCCAGCCAGCTTGCTCAGAATACACATATCTATATATTTGAACCCCATTCTTCCATCTTCAGAAAAATAAGCCCTTCTGAATCATACGTGTGTGTGTGGGGGTGGACAGACTGCTATTCACAGGCAATGCTAGTCCTGAAATTACAGTGTAAGACAAATCACCATAACAAGAATAACTCATGTTAACAACAAGAACAGATGAGGAACCAAAGTAAGCCAAAGCATATACTCTGAGAGAATGGCTGGCACTGAAAATAAATGAGAAGTGATTCCCTAATCTTTAGAAACTGCATTTTATTGACAGACACATGACCTATCTAGTCTTCATCCTTGTCAGCTTTGATTGGCAGAGGCTCACCAGGGCTTCAGGCAGAATCCTTGCCTAGCTCTTTGTGGAAGCCTTTGGTATTCCGTGGTGGGCCCTCATCCAGGGCCGACCCGCTTAGCTTCAGAAATCCGGCAGGGTGAGAAGGTGGACTTAAATATATGCCTCCCTTGGGTCAGCCTTTGAAAGAGGGTGCACCGCCATAGAAAACCATCGCCCTCTGTTCACCAGCCTGTAAAGATGGAGGAATCAGGAGAAGGGCTTCAAAAGGAGTCCTAAGTATGTTATCAGGTTGATCCAGGAGAATACGGCCCCTTAACTGTCTAACACCACGAATATGCAGAACTTAAAAGCTAAACTTGCACACTTTGGATTCTATTCAGAAATGAACCATAGGACTGTTGAGATATGTTCCAGCTAATTTGTGACCTGGCAGTTGCGTTTCCGGCCAACGTTTATGGATGGTGTTTGTGTTGAGCCCCATTTCAAGGATTGCCTCATCTTGGAAGGGAACTCTCCTGGGAGGCCATCTGTAGGAGGAGGTGGAGCTGAGGCAGAAGGTGGACAAAACGCAGTAGGAGTAGACGGATAAAGGACCTGGGGCAGGAGACCTCTGAAATTGGTCCAATGGAAGATTAACTGCAGTTGTGAACAGATGTAAATAGATGACAATGAATAAAATACAGGAGAACTTTTGAAACATTCAGAAGTGGTCTCCAGCCCAGTTTTGCTTCATGCAGCAAAGATGACAATGAATAAAATACAGGAGAACTTCTGAAACATTCAAAAGTGGTCTCCAGCCCAGCTTTGCTTCATGCAGCAAATACAGTATTACCTTGGTTTACGAATGCCTTGGTTAATGTAAATTTTGGTTTACGCACGGAAATCCATTGAAAATAATGCCTTAGTTTATTTTTCCCCCCGCAGTATGAAGGAAGTTTCCCCAGGATGCATTGTGCCAGGAGGTTTATAGTGCCGCCCAGGATGCATTGTGCCAGGAGGTTTATAATGCCGCCCCCATTCCTATGGCAATCCGCATTTCGGTTTACGAATTTTTGACGTTATGTAATATGCTGTAGAATGCATTAAATTCGTAAACTGAGGTACTACTGTACAGGGTGCTGGTGCTGGACAGAGGAGGCAAAGGGGTGAAAGACAGACTTGCGTGTGCTACATGACTTAATGTATTTATGTATTTATTTAAAATATTTTTACTTTGCCTTTCTCCTTGAAAAGGACCGAAGGTGGCTTAAATCACGAAAAGACAATATTTAAAAGACAATATTTTTTCTGTAGATCACCCATCTACAGAAAAAGACAAAAGCCCATCTCAGAGCCATAAATACTCCACTCCCAAGCCAACAAGCCAAAGTGCTTGTTTTGACATATAAAGCCCTAAACGGCTTGGGCCCTGGATACCTGAAGGACCGCCTCCTTCCATATGAGCCTACCCGGCAGTTAAGATCTAGCCAGGGGGCCCTTTT